CTCGCTCATCCATGTCTTTATGGACCTTGCTTTGTGCACTGGTGCGCAGTCATGTTGGAACAGGAAGGGGCCGTCCCCAAACTGTTCCCACAAAGTTGGGAGCATGAAATTGTCCAAAATCTCCTGGTCTGCTGATCCCCCCTCCCCCAAACTTTACACTCGGCACAATGCAGTCAGACAAGTACCGTCTCCTGGCAACCGCCAAACCCAGACTCATCCATCGGATTGCCAGACGGAGAAGTGTGATTGGTCACTCCAGAGAAGCTCTAGAGTCCAATGGCGGCGCTTTACACCACTGCATTCGACGCTTTGCACTGCGCTTGGTGATGTAAGGCTTGGATGCAGCTGCTCGGCCATGGAAACCCATTCCACGAAGCTCTCTATGCTGTTCTTGAGCTGATCTGAAGGCCACATGAAGTTTGGAGGTCTGTAGCGATTGACTCTGCAGAAAGTTGGTGACCTCTGCGCACTATGCGCCTCAGCATCCGCTGACCCCGCTCTGTCATTTTACGTGGCCGGAACACCTGAATTATACCTGAATAACAATATAGTGTATATTCTATATGTTTAGCAATAACTTTGGTAAAAGGGTTTAATGGTCAAGCTTTACTGCAGCTAAATCAGTGTTTTTTGTGCAAATTGAGAAAATAGAATATGAATACTGACCTGTCTGATGTTCATTCTGCAAAAAAAAACATTGAGATGATGCAAATTCCTTTGTATATTATACCAAGGACAGCCCAAAATCACCACATTAAAGTCAGACATTTTATGTGTTTTTGTGATCATAAATGCTAATTTGAATAATTTTATTTTTAAGTTCAGATACTTCACTTTTCACAGAAATAATAAAAAAACCCAACAGCAGCAACCGTCACTTTACTGCCTTTGAAAAGTTAGTAGGACATAAATTGAAAATGCCTACAAACTCACTATATGAAAAAAAATCAATTTAATTTCACCAATAAAATGTCAATAAAACAGTAGTGTGCAAAATCAGAGACCCCCCCCCCTTTATGTATGTAATAACCAATCAAAGCAGACATTAAGTACAAGTTCTAGATTTTTCAGGAGATGTTTGTGAGATAAAAGATAATCCTGATTTGCATAACAGGAAATTAATAAAAATGGGTCACACTTTATTTGGATGGTCCACTTTAGATGATCTACAGAGTTACCAAAACGGGTCTCCTAATGACCTTTCTCATGGATGGGTCATTCTCAGCACTGCAGTAACACTGACGTGGTGATGGTGTGTTAGTGTGTGTTGCGCTGGTGCGAGTGGATCAGACACAGCAGTGCTGCTGGAGTTTTTAAACACCTCAGTGTCACTGCTGGACTGAGAATAGTCCACCAACCAAAAATATCCAGCCAACAGCGTCCTGTGGGCAGCGTCCTGCGACCACTGATGAAGGACTAGAGGATGACCAACACAAACTGTGCAGCAGCAGATGAGCTATCGTCTCTGACTTTACATCTACAAGGTGGACCGACAAGGTAGGAGTGTCTAATAGAGTGGACAGTGAGTGGACACAGTGTTTAAAAACTCCAGCAGCACTGCTGTGTCTGATCCACTCACACAAGCGCAACACACACTAACACACCACCACCACGTTGGTGTTACTGCAGTGCTGAGAATGATCCACCACCCAAATAGTACCTGCTCTGTCAGGGTCCATGGGGGTCCTGACCACTGAAGAACAGGGTATCAGAGCATGCAGAGAAACAGATGGACTAGTCTGTCGCTGTAGCTCTAATTGAGGAGCATTATTTCATATTTGGATCACAGACGGCACATGGCACTGCTGAGGTTCGAGCCTTTCTCAGCATGTCTGCTGCAGCGCTGGTCTCTCTGTTTACAAGTCAGTCTTTTTATTTCTCACAGCTTCTCTACAGTCAGATCACAGTTTCAGCGCGAGCGTCAGTTTAACTAACAAACACAATAAGGAGGAATTTGTGAAAATGGTCCAGTTTTATTTTTCTAGCTGAATTGATCATTAATGAAATCAAAGCGTGATTTGTCTCTGTGCGGAGCGGCGCGCGAGCCGTGATGACGGAGGTAATTCCTGGTAATTGTATTCGGAGTAAAGGTGAGCTCTCTCCCCATAATGACCGCATTTCAGCACAAAGCGCAGAGCCGCCTCTGCTTCAGCTCGGCTTTAATGCGCTCAAATTGCAGCAATCAGGATTTTATTTTAAAACCATCCGCCATTCAGCTCCGACATGAGTGCAGGGAGCGGAGAAAGAGGCTGAGCGGGACAGAACAGCACCACGTTTACTGGTTTACAAGCTGAAGAAGAGGTTCGTTCGTCATTAAAACCAGTTTAAACCTGCGCTTTTAAACTCAGCGGAATTCAGCACAAAAATTTATTCCCCCAGATTTTCGCAGGTCTAGTCTGTCCACTGAGACGTGGTCAGGCGGTGAATTTTGCTCCTTTAGTTTCAGCTCTGGAGCTGCGAGGCTAATGTAGCTAAAGTAATGGAGGCTGGTTTATGAGGAGTCTGGCCGCTTCCTATTTCCCCCGTTATATCAAAAACAGGGCTGCTAAACAGCAGAGGGCACCCGCGAGTGAGTCCTTAATGAATGGGAGTGAATGGAGCTCAACGGCTAAAAACTAAAAGCTAAAATAGTTTCTAATCACTGAACCAGAACTTTCCTTTAATTTTAGACAGTAGGAGGATGAGTTTCACTAAAAAACAAAGAAAACTCACCTGTATGTTTCCTTTATTCTACAGTAAACGGGTTTTGGGCAGCAGGAGGCGGCATTACTGCTCCTGAGAGCTGATTGGTTGGCGAGCGGAGCAGCTCATTGGCTGTTCGCGCTCACAGACGTCATGAACGTACATGAGGCGCCGTTTTACACTCCTATAACTCGAGTTTAAAAGCTCTTAAATATAACAGCAGTTAAAATGTTTTATGCTGCTCTGTGTTCAGGAAATGAATGAATTCTTTTACATTATAAACTATGCTTTTGCTCAAATGCTCCATGTTAACCCATTCATTTTGGACTCGCTTAGGAGCGCCCTCTATCAAAACCCAGAAAACATTATAGAGTGTAATTCTCCTCTACAAGTTCTCTGATGGAAGCTTTTAGCTTAGCAGGGTAACTGAAAAACTCCTGCCCTCTAGTGGTGACAGTGTTATTACTGTTAGCAGGGAAGGTTGCTGTTGTTGCCTCTTTAGCCACAATGCTAATACAGCTACCATGTAGTGGCAGCTTTTAGCTGATCAGCCTCTCTGGGAGTAAAATTACTGTTAGTCATTAAATTTTAGAGCTGTTCTTTTCTTCTGTGGCTTCTTTAGCTACGATGCTAATGTAGCTAACACGCACTGGAAGCTAGCCCACTGATTAGCATTAGCAGACTTTCTAACTGTACCACACTGTTATCTAAAACATGGACTCAAATATGGACTAAAATGTGGACTAAAATATGGACTCAAATATGGACTCAAATATGAACTCAAATATGGACTCAAATATGGACTAAATTATGGACTCAAATAACGACTCAAATATGGACTCAAATATGAACTCAAATATGGACTCAATTATGGACTCAAATATGGACTAAATTATGGACTAAATTATGGACTCAAATATGAACTCAAATATGGACTCAAAGATGGACTAAAATATGGACTCAAATGTGGACTAAAATGTGGACTCAGTCAGGGCCTCAGAATGCTGCAGCTGAAATTAGCATTAGCATAAAGTAGCTCGGTTAGCCACAGCTGAAGCATGTCTTGGCTGATCAGCTACATTTGGGATAAACAGGGTAAATTTAGTTTTGTTTGCCAAATTAGTAATGCTAATATTTACACAGACTGGCTGTTTATGTTTAATATACATGTTAATATATATGTATATACATATATACACTGTATAACTATATATGTACAAAAAATTATATGTAAAATAATATGTATATCTGCAGAGAGCAAAGCTATATCAGGAGAACTAGACGGACATAAAAGCATCTATGATCAATCCAGAGGTCTGTTCAACTCTGAAGCTTAATGGATCCTAATGAGTGAGAATGTGCTGCCCCCTGGTGGACAACAGCAGCAACTCACCCAGGAGTTCCCAACCTTTCCCATCAGCTGCATGGTTTGTTTTCAAGATGTACTTTAAATACAGTTACTGCTAGAAAAACCAGCAGACGGTTCTTCAAGGGTTCTTTAGTCACAACGATGGCTCTATGTACAAACACAAACACTCAAAGGACCATTTGCAGGCTTACACGGTTCACTGCATGGTGAAGTCATTCTTCAGATTGATGGAGAATGTGATGTAGAAGGTTCTATACAGAACCTTTTTGAAAAGGGTTCTGCTATTGTGTACGATGTCAAGCTTGTAACAACAGCAGAACCCTTTTTTGGTGCTATATAGAACCTTTTTGAATTGCAATGATACTGAATCGTTCCCATAAAAATTGTAATGATACTAAATAATTTCCCAAAGAATTATAATGATACTGAATCGTTTCCTTAAGAATTGTAATGATACTGAATCGTTTCCTTAAGAATTGTAATGATACTGAATCGTTTCCTTAAGAATTGTAATGATACTGAATCGTTTCCATAAGAATTGTAATGATACTGAATCGTTTCCATAAGAATCATAATGATGCTGAATTGTATCCTAAAGAATCGTAATGATACTGAATCTTTACATATGATACTTTATCTGTATCATGCAGCTCTTGAGGGATCTAATGGTACATTATCCATTAATCTGAAGAACTACTTCCCCATGCAGAGAACCATCAAGCAGGAAAATGGTCCTTTGAGTGTTCATGGTTCTATACAGAACCCTTGAAGAACCATCTTTTTAAGAGTGTACACTCAGTTGTGGTTTTCTATAAATACGTTTTCTTTAAATATGTGTGATGTGTAAATATGTATTTTCTGGCCCTGAAACACTTTCTGACGTGTGCACAGTGCTGTACATATAAACATATGTTCAGTTTGATGGAAAGAAGAAAAAATCACATAAAAATATGATGCGCTTTCATTTATTTCCATCATTTTTCAGGTCATTTTCTTTTTGTTACAGTAAATTGTTCGGCACATCAGGCTCTTAAATCCACTTATACACCATGCTGAGACAGTACCTCCATATTTAACAGTTAATTTTACAAAAGAAATTCCACAAAATGTAAAAATAAAATCATCACAAAAATATAAAAAATGCATTAAGGCAATTCTGAGAGGGCATCATGAAAACTGAACTATGTTTATGTAAACAGTTTTCTGTACTTCAGTAATAATAGTGTATCGTTAAATATGTAGAATAAGTATTGCTTCAATTAATGTAGTGAATGTAACCGAAGTCAGTGTTATCTATCAATAATAATAATACTAATAATACTAACGCTAATAATACTAATATCCCACAGGAATGATATAACCTCTGTATTCACACTCGTAATTCTGATTATACTGACGTCCTCTGGAGCTACAGCCTCAGTCCAGACTGTTTCAGTAACCAGCCGATACCGTCCAGCAGTCCAGCCAAAGACTCGGATACCACGTCCTGGACCTGTGAACACATTCAGACAGGAAGCAGTGATTTTATGTTGATTTGATTTGATTCACTTTATTAGTGTGTTAGTTTAACCGATTCCTGCTCTATCTTAAGGAAGCGCAGTGTTATTTATAGTTATCACGAGTTCAATAAATCCATGAGATGCTGGACGAGAAATCTGGAAGCAAATTCTGAATCGTTTCCCAAAAAAAATCACACTGATACTAAATCTTTTCCCAAAGAATCGAAATGACCCAATCATTTCCATAAGAAATCTTAAGAACTGTAATGAAACTGAATCATTTCTGAAAGAATCATAATGATGCTGAATTGTATCCTAAAGAATCGTAATGATACTGAATCTTTTACCAAAGAAGAGTAATGATACTGAACTGCTTCCCAAATGATCATAATGGTACTGAATCATTTCCCAAATCATCAAATGATACTGAATCATTTCCTAAAGAATTGTAATGATGCTGAATTGTTTTCCAAAGAATTGTAATGATGCTGAATCATTTTCTAAAGAATCATAATAATACTGAATCGTTTTCTAAGGAATCGTAATGATACTGAATCTTTATATATGATATTTTCTCTATATTGTGCAGGGATCTAATGGTGTCTAATGAGTTCTCACCATCCAGGGGTTGGCCAGCAGGTGGAGCTGTAGTTGGTGGGCTACAGTAACACTGGGGATCCGCACAGCTCCATCTCTGGACACGCAGGACAGAACGAGCAGTGGGCGGGACGCCGGACCCCAAATAGGCTGCAGGACCGCCCGGACCTGACTGGCCTCTTCCATACGGCCTGAGAACACACAATTCAAAGTGACAGTTCAGCAAAAAATCTAATTCCAACCCCCAACGAGTCTGAATCATTTCCAAATGATCTTAATGAAACTGAATTATTTCCCAAATTACTGTAATAAAATCGAATCGTTTCGAGGTCGAGATCTGCAGCCCAGCTGTGAGGCACAGGTCAGAGCTATGAGGGCTAATGTAGCTAACAGGTAATGGAGGCTAATACCCACCAATTAGCATTGTGCCTAAATCATCACTCCCTTTAGATCACTTAGCCACTCCATACGGTCTCAGCATGAGCTACGGTTACCCAGACACGCAGCTAGCACCATGCTAATCGGTGGGCTATAAGCTTCTCTTAGTTGTTAGCTACTAACTAAAGATTAAACGTCAGACACTGAGCGCGTCTCGTCTGATCGAGGGGCGGATCTGACTTTCCCAACACTGCGGCTTTAATACAGAGCAGCGCTGGCAGGGTGAGAAAATGAGCTCTAAGAGGAGCTTTAACAGCTAAATGGAATAAAGGAGCAGCTAAACACTCAGCTTTTAGAGAGGAGAACCACATTAAGGCCTGACGCTGTTTACTAAACACACACACACACACACACACACACACACACATACACACTCACACACACTCACACACTCAGCTTTTAGAGAGGAGAACCACATTAAGGCCAGACGCTGTTTACTAAACACACACACACACACACACTCTCTCACACTCACACACACACACACACACACACACACACACACACATACACACTCACACACACACACACACTCTCACATACACACACACACACACACACACACACACACACACTCACACACTCTCAGCGCAGCTCTCTGTTCACAGTATTCTGATGACGTCACAGTCGCGCTGAAACACTTTCAGCAGACGACTTGAACTTCATTCAGCAGCTCAGTAGCGGTTTGTTATGAGCAGGGGGGCGATTTACAGACAGGAAACAGCGCCCCCCGGAGGCACGTTTCTAATGAGCTGAGTGGCACAACTGTCTACACTGCGAAAAATAATATTTGGCGAGTGAAATTATCTTAACGGAAACACATCTTATTGTTTTTGCTCAGGTCAGCAATAACATTAAGTCCACCTCCTTGTTTCTACACTCACTGTCCATCTTATCAGCTCCACTGACCGTATAGTCTCACTCTGTAGTTCTACAGTCACAGAAACAGAGCACTACAATCTGCAGACAAAGGTCATATTTGAGTGTGTTCTCTGTAGAGGGTGTGTTAACTGATCAGCATTTACACAGTGAACCGCTCACTGCACTGAGCTCTCACACACAGAACACACAGTGGTGTGCAGCTGTTGTTGTTGTTGTTGTTGTTGTTTTTGTTTGCGCTGTGTTGTGTTACCTCTGTCCGTCTGAGCGTTGGAGACAAAGATGAATCCATTTACAGCCTGACACGCCTCCTGGACCTGCGGAGCCACAGAGTACACCGGCCCACTCTCTGTCTCCCCCTGCAGGACAAACAGCTTACTGCGCACACTCTGCTGCTCCAGACGAGCTCGCTCTCGCTCTGAGCTACACACACACACACACACACACACGCGCACACACACACACACAGACACGCACACACACGCACACATCAACACACACACACACACACACACACACACACACACACATACACACACGCACACACACACACACATACACACACACACACACGCACACACACACGCACACACACACACGCACACACACACACACATACACACACGCACACACACACACATACACACACACACACACGCACACACACGCACACATACACACACGCACACATCAACACACACACACACACACATACACACACGCACACACATACACACACACACACACGCACACACACGCACACATACACACACGCACACATCAACACACACACACACACACATACACACACGCACACACACGCACACACACACACATACACACACACACACACATACACACACGCACACACACACAACACAGCATTAATACAACATTAATTATACAATATTAATACAACAATATGTCTCAAATGTAAGTATATCAGAATAAACTACTGCACTTTATTTTAATAAGCTACTTTTAATGATAATAATATTAAGCTGCTTTCAATAACACTTAAGTTTGTCTTTAATTTGCTTATGTTTTTGTATTTTGCTTCTATATACTTCCTTTTAATTATATATACTTTATATACAACTGCATAATAAGTTTAATATGTAAGTATGTAAGGACAAGTATATAAGTATGTAAGCATATAAGTGTATTATATACTCTATGAGTACATTAGTATGTAAGTACATGGGTATACTATATAAAGTGTAATAATAATCTATAAGTAGGAAAGTACATAAGTATACCATATACTGTATACTATATAAGTATATAGGTGTACTATATACTACATAAATCTAATGTATAAGTATGTATGGGTATATAACTGATGTATCATAATTGACTTTGTTAATTTGGGTGTAAAAATATTTTCAGTATTTTGAAACATTGTTAAAATTTAGATTTTGTCGAATAAATGAACGTAGCAGGAGCGCCTCACCTGTTAGTGGAATATAAAGTGATGATGTTGAATTTGTGTTGATTGTTGTACAGAAAACTGATTCCGGATCCGATTCCTACAATAAAAAAACAAATCAGCTTAAACAGGAAACTCAGGAACTCTATAAACAGTAGAGCTCAGAATCGGGTACTTCTTAAAATGAGGCCTGTGAAAAAGTTATGGCACATTTTATATTTTATGTTTTACTGTTTCCAAATATGTTGAGCTCAAACAAGTAAACAGAAATTAAAAACTGCAGAAAAATGTCATATTTACATGTGTTCTCTGTAGAGGAACATGCAAATGTATAAATACAAACAGCATCACTGGGTGAGTCTGGGTTAATCTGGAGAAATATCTGTGGCAGTTCACAGATGACGTTGCTATGGGAACATAAGAAAAGGCCCAAAAGCACGTTCCACTGGAACCTGTTCAACTACAAAAATAGTTAGTTTGTTCCCTGCTTTTTCTTCGGCTGTTGTTTCGCAAAACTGGATTTTTTAGGTTCTGGCCGGTACCGTAAACGTGTGCGTACCGCCGATCTGCCGCTGCGGTATCCCCGCTACAGGCAGGATGTGTGGAGAGTGCATCATGGTGGTCATCAGAGAAACGTCCAGCTGCTCCAAACCCGGCCCAAACATGGCGAACCGCGGCTCTGATCCGGACACCAGGTTCTGCAGGAAGAACGCCACCGCCTCCAGAGCCGGCCGCGGCTGCTGATACCGACACCGACACGCGGGAGAGCAGCGCAGGTACCTGCAGGAGAAACGACATTAAAGCGATAGTTCAACTACAAATCAGATTCCTCCAGTTCTGTTACCTCACCAGCCAGGAAATGCTTGGCGTCCGTAGCTTTAGCGCTGGAGCGACGAGGCAACTGAATGTAACTGCTGCACCATTTAAGGTGGAACGGAAAATTCCAATAAGAGGCTGGCAAATCCATTATTTCTTTACTTTTAGGTCTGCAGGTGAGATTTGTGGCCAACCAAACAAGTCTGAGCTGATTTATATGTGCATATATGAATTATAGATACACTTTTTCCCAAGATCATCAAACACATAACATTTTTTTTAATTTCTGCATAATTCAGTGCTTGAGCAGAGTTGTTCAGAGTGGTTTAATGCAAAATGGTTAACTGTGGAGAAACCAGAACCATCAGGCAGTGAATTCAGAACCATTTCATGTAAGAACTTTCTGTGAGGGAGCTTTGAGAGGTGGACGTCTGGTTCCTATCACCACCACTGTGAACAGTTCTGACTCAGTTTCTCTAGAACAGAGCGTTTCACACCAAACCGCTCTGAACCGCTCTGAACCACTCTGTTTACATCTTAACACTTTAATTGTGCAGATATTTTGGTGGAGCTGCTCTTCACAGAGACACTCACTCTGCCATAAAGTCGAGTTTCTGCAGCTCTGGTGCGTCCGGCGCCGCTGCGCTCAGGAACTCCTCCTTAGGCATCGATAAATGGTCCACTGAGGTCCAGCTGTTCACGTCCCGCATGAAGAAGTACCTCCAGAGCAGAGGCTCCTGGACCATCGACCTCCAGAACCGACTGCAGCCCCCTAGCCTGCAGAGGTCTTCAGGACAGAGGTAGGTCATAATGAGGAACTGCATATCCACCTGAGGATGAAACACAAACAAATAAACAAACAAACATACTTATTCTTTACTGTCTGACAGAACCTAAAGCATCTGTTCCACAGTGAAGGCTGTAATGACTCACATACACTACGCTTCAAAAGTTTGGGGTCACTGATTTCATTCATATAGACCAGTTGACAAAAATATAATGTCGCAATATTTCAAGAAAAAAACAGCTAATAGTGCTACATTTAAAAATACTTTAACAAACTGTGAACAGTCATTTTTACTGAGTATTTATATAATATGACCAGAAAAGCATATTGTATTGTATTGTGACATTATTTAAAATAAATGAAAATAGAATTATTAAACTAATCCACTTAGAATGGAGATTTAGCCACTCTGTATTACAACTTTAGCCACTTTTAATCCCAGTGCTACCAAAATAAGAGTCCTCTATAATTCTGCTTAATTAAGCTTATCTGATTCAAATCAATAAAATGTTCACTCTGTATTTAGTTATACTACAGTAATAATAATAATAATAATACTTGTAATAATTATTCTAATATTAATTATTATTAGTAGCAGTACTTAAATGAGTGTGTATGTTTTGTAGTTAAAACACTTTTTTGCTTTGAATTAATAGTTATACTTGAGAAATGTATATAAGTAATGTATATAGAGTCATATAGAAGCTCCCCACTGAAAAAGTACTACTTTAAACTGAAAAATGATTTTGACACGTGAAGTCATCTAAAATGCTGTTTCTCCTTATAAAACTGCAGAATATTTTCTATTTCTATATATTTTACGTTTACGGAATCAGACAATTTCACTAAATACACTATATGGCCAAAAATATGTGGACATGCCTCCTTATTATTGAGTTCAGGTGTTTCAGCCACACTCATTACTAACCCCTGACAGTAGAGGGTCGCACTGAAGAGCTCAGTGACTTTAAACATGTCACTGTCATAGGATGAACCTCTGACACAAGTCAGTTTGTGAAATTTCAGTCCTGCTAGATCTGCTGTGGCAAAGTGCTATTACTGCGAAATGGAAGCAACAACAGCTCAGCCACGAATCGGTAGACCACTGAAACTCACAGAGTGGGCCACCGAGTGAAAATCTACTCTTCTCTACTGAAACACTCACTACAGAGCTCCAAACTGCCTCTGGAAGCAACATCAGCACAAGAGCTGAGCATCAGTATCTTCATGAAATGGGTCTCCATGGCTGAGCAGCTGCACATAAGCCTAAGACCACCATGCTCAATGCCAAGCGTCGGCTGGAGGGGTGTAAAGCGCCGCCACTGGACTCTGGAGCAGTGGAACAGTGTTCTCCGGAGTGATGAATCAGCTTCTCTACCTGTCAGTCTGATGATGAATCTGGGTTTGGTGGATGTCAGGAGAACGTTACCTACCGGAATGCAGAGCCAACAGTACAGTTTGGTGGAGGAGGGATGATGGGCGGGGCTGTTTTTCAGGGTTTGGGCCCCTCAGTTCCAGTGAAGGGTGATGTTGATGCTGCAGCACAAAGACATTTTACACAGTTATCTGCTTCCAGCTTTGTGTCAGCAGTTTGGGGAAGAGCCTTTCCTGTTCCAGCATGACTGAGCCCCTGAGCACAAAGCAGCTCCATAAAGACATGGAGTGACCAGTTTGGTGTGGAGGAACTCCAGTGGCCTCACAGAGTCCTGACCTCAACCCCACTGAACACCTTTGGGATGAACTAGAATGAAGATTGTGAGCCGGCCCTCTCGTCCAACATCAGTGTCTGACCTCACAAATGCTCTTTAGACTGAATGGACGGAAATTCACACAGACTCTCCAACATCTTGTGAAAAGCTTCCCAGAGGAGTGGAAGCTGTTAGAGCCGCAAAGGGTACCAACTCCATATTATTGCCCATAATCCTAGAATGAGACATCCAACAATAGAGGAGTAATGGTGAGGTGTCCACATACTTTTGGCCATTTAGTGTATAATAACTTTAACACCTAGAGACAGGTTGACCAATCTTATAACAATCCTATAGAAATCTTATAACGATAAATGATAGATTTATTGACTACTTTTAAGATGCCAATAGTATTTTTGCAGTGTAGGAATGAGAGTAACTGAACCATTTAAGGTGGAACGAGAAAATTCAAACAAGAAGCGTTCTAGGATAGTAAAAAGGTTCCTTAGCAGAGGGTTTTACCGGCAGGTTGTCCAGAAAGGCCCTGCCTTCCTCCTCCTCCTCATCCTCAGTGTCTTTATCTGCGTTTCGCTCTTTAACTCTCCGGCTGCTGTCTGAGAGCAGCTTCTCCCTGACGCTGCGGAGGCTGCGCAGTAAGACGCTCTGCATCCCGGAGACAAAACCAACAACGCCTGAAAATCAAATATAACTTTTCATAATCCGATTCTGAAGTGATTGATAAAGTACTGGCGCTCCAGAAACCTCACTGCGCCCGCCTGTTTCACTCTCACTTCCCCGGAACTGTCAAAACTTACACGTATTCGCAGTTCACAGGCTGCGGGGCATTGTGGGTACTGTAGTTTTTCTCACGTTCTCGATGCTAATGCTAATGCTAATGAATCGGCTTAATTGTAGTTATTTGTTGCTTTCTAACCGGCCATTCGACCTTATTATGTTCTTGCTGAGTGAGAGTCCTAATTTTCAAACAACAAAATGTTCTGTATGACTAGATAAACATCGATTTCTTTCAGCAAATGGACAGAAAATCTAAGATACGACAAGCAACCTAGCATGAATCTGATTTACATTAAAATATCTGCATAGAAAAATGTAAACAGAGAGATTCAGAGTGGTTTGGTGTGAAATGGTTCAGATGTCTTTACAGTAGTGGTGATAGGAACCAGGGGTCGCCATGACTACAACACAGATATAGACATTTACTATCCAGAACCACCAATGAACCTACACGAGTCTTCTGAGTTTATATGGAATGTTGATGATGGAAAATAGTGGAAAATCTGAAATAATAAGTTTTCTTTGGGGACTATTTTGCCTCACAGCGCCCTGCATGTATCCCTCCACCATGAATGGAGTTTAAGTTCTCTTAACTATCATAAAACAGTGTCTCAGTCATCAGGCAGTGAATTCATAACCATTTCATGTAGTAACTTCCTGTGAGGGAGCTTTTAGAGGTGCAGAAATTTTGAAAAATTAATGAAAATTTTTGCCCATTGAAAGTTTTAGCTAAACTGCTTAAGTCATGACGCTTTCATAAAAGCACCAGTTTTGGATAAAAAACTAAATCAGTATTAACCAAAAAGACTTTACAGCAACAAACTGCTGAACATGCACACAGTCAGAGCAAACTCACTGACAGGGTTCATATTAAACCTTTTTTAAACCAAATTTATTTTCAATGAAGACACAAACAAAACATGAAACACAACTGTAAAATAATACAAGCGAAAAGTTGAGCTTTTTTACAAGTGTACTATCAAAATATCAAAGTTCATATCTGTGAACATTACAGCTCGTCAAGGGAATAAAGATGCAACATTTAGTAAGTGAGAAAAAGAGATGCGGTATACAAATATGGTATTAAAAACAAAACAGTCCATACTCAAAAATGGTCGTGAATACTTCAGAACATATTTGTACAGCCCCCCCCACCCACCCTAAAACACTTCTCTTAACATATAGAAATGCAATTAAAAATAAATAAATTAAACTAAAATAAATAAAAAGTGGAATATTGTTTTTAAACAAATAGTTATTTCTTTTTCTTTCTTTTTTTAAATTTTTTTTAAGTATCTTACATCAGAATCAGTGTTAATCCACATTCGCAGAACACAGAGGTGTCCAGCTAACTGTCTGGACTATGGAAGATAAGTGCTTTTTAATAACTTTACTGTTTTTTTTTTAACCCATTTTTGTTGTTGGACTAGAACTGTGAGCGTGGTTGAGCTGTGAGTCGGAGGAGTGGGCTGCATGTTTACTGCAGGATGCTGAGAATTTCTTTAGCGTTCTCCGTGTTCCAGCCTTGGCCCTGCAGCGGCCCCTCGCAGGCCAGCACGTATTTATTCAGGATCTGAGCTCCGATGTCGCGGAAATGAAGCCTGTCCTCCTTCTGTTCCGCTCCATCGGCGCTGCCGTCCTCGTACTTCACTGCCCAGAAACACATCTCTCCGATATACATCATCGTCAGCAGGTGGGTGTCAGAAAAGATCCCTGATACAGAAGACAGAAAACAAGAGGGATAACAGGACAAATAATAAGACAGTGCTTTTAATTTCATTTGCACTACAAGCAAAATAAAGTCTTCAGCAGCATCATCAATAATAAATGAAACTACACACTTAAAAAATTATGTCTCTTTAAGGGTTCTTCAATAAAGAAAATGGTTCTATATAGAACCATAAACACTCAAAGAACCCTTTGCATGGTGACATGGTTCTTCAGGTTGATAGAGAATGTGCTGTAGATGGTTCTTCTATTGTTGCAAGATTGACATCGTCAAAATAGAAAAATCCTTCATGGTGCTACACAGAACTCTCATCAAAAAGGTTCTATATAAAACCATCAACAGCATATCAGTCCAACTCTTTCATGATGCAAAGGGTTCTTTGACTGTTCATCGTTCTATATAGAACCATTTTCTTCACTAAGGAGCCCTTGATGAACCATCATTTTTAAAAGTGTAGAAAAGCCTAGCTTTACTGAATCACCACCAGCTTCATGTCTTCCGTCACGCATGTGTCTATGATACGGGCAAGGTGTGAAATACAGGGGGTCCAGGACTGCCTAATTAACCTCCTGGATCAAAATTCGGATTTGGAGGGGGTGTCCCTGAAAATGATCTTTTTATGATGTTATGCTGTCTGCAAATCCAGATTGAGTGAAGCTCATTGTTTATCTGCTTCCCCCACAATCAGCTTCTGTCTCTGGTGTTCTTAACTAACTAGAGCTGCAGCACTGCTCTGCCTCAGGGTGGCGCTGTAGCAGACTGGCTCACCCAGTTGGTCCTTCATAGCCTAGAAACTGTAACTCTGCCCGGATTCCTCTGAAAAACTTTACAATGAGCTGCAGCAGATCTGTAAATCTGAAAACTCGCCCAGTTTCCCAAGAGTTTGGAGTGAAGAGTCACTGTTCCTCATTTCACACACTGAAGACAGAAGAGGAGACGAGGAAGATCTCAGTTACTGTGAGGAAGAGTGCAGAACCGCACTAGAACAGAGACTCTACAGAAGAGGAGACGAGGAAGATCTCAGTTACTGTGAGGAAGAGCGCAGAACCGCACTAGAACAGAGACTCTACAGAAGAGGAGACGAGGAAGATCTCAGTTACTGTGAAAAAGAGCGCAGAACCGCACTAGAACAGAGACTCTACAGAAGAGGAGACGAGGAGGATCTCAGTTAATGTGAGGAAGAGCGCAGAACCGCACTAGAACAGAGACTCTACAGAACAGCAGCTGATAAACAAACATTTACTGACACTGAAGCATCAGCGGCGCTATGGAGAGAGAGAGTTAAAACTGCCTTTAACGAAAGCTCCACAGGACCCGGCACAGAAGTGGATCTTCGAACAACAGGATATTAAATATTTAAATATATCGCTGCTGACGGATCAAAACCTCGTATCTCCAAAATGGTAACTTCACAGGAGAAGGAAAAAACCTACTTTACTTTCAATGTAAGTCAATGGAACCAGAATTTTTTCAGGTAATTTTGAGCCGTTTCTTTTGGTCCAGTCATCATGAAATTTACATACACTGTAAAGAGCCACAGGCATTTTCAAATTATGTCAAAACTGACAAAAATGGAGATATGAGATGTATATATATATATATATATATACACACACACACACACACGTGTAGGTGCCTCAGTACCAATCTTTGGGGACATCCTTAGTGATGAGTGAATGAGAACTGGGCACACTTCCAGAGATTTACCTTCTGACAGGAAGTTAGCGGTTGTGGAATCGTGGAAAACGACTCCATCGTTCAGCTTGACGGAGCTCCGCACCTGCAGCATCTTCATCAGGTACCGCACGCCCTCCTGAACACACTGCGGAGACACGGAAACAAAATAAAATCATGTAATTCATCAACCAAAGTGCCAATTCAACTGACTATTACAGTCCATAATGCAGTTACAATAAATGAATAATAATAACTACATTTATGGTGCACTTTTCATACACATAGGAGCTAAGAGTGCTTTCAGTGGAACAGTAAAGTTCAATACAAAGCAAAAAGTTAAAATCAGTAAAAATTTACATTAACAACATTTTTAAAAAAGTAAGCACTCATTTTTACTTTTACCAAGTTATTATTAAATATCAAAATAAAAACAGTTTGCTGTGTTGTTTTCATTATCACTGCTACACTCTTTGGGTATTTTGTTTAATTATAAAAATAACAGTTGCATCACAATAAACAAACTGAATCCTGTAGAAGTTTGAGATTTCATGATTCACTGAATCGATTTTGTAATGAATCGTAATTGAATCAGAGATGCTGAGTCAGAGTCAGAGTGAACGTTACAGGATGTTCACCTTCAGGAAGGTGGCTTTATTCTGTTTGATCCACTGCTTCCTCTGGTGCAGCGTGTGGCAGTACATGTAGAGCAGAGCTCCACGACGCCAGTACAGACACTCCAACAGCTCCAAACCCAAAACAACCTGCACCTGGATCAGAACACACACAGGGGGGAGACCGACAACAAGAACCAGCACACGCAGAGTATTAATGATACTAGTGCTGTAATGTGGGAGAAGATTCTGTACTAAAACTCAGAGCTCATAACAGAAAAAAACACTTCCTGTAGTGTCTTACAGTCTGTCAGAATGACCGATTATGCTTTACGTAAATAACACAACGCCTTTTTGTCAAGGAATCACTGCAGCACTAAAAATAAACCCTAGAGATGTAGTGTACCTCCTGGCTGGGGGCCAGTCGTCCTGCTAAAATCTCGGGCTCTGTCAGGTCCTGCAGCAGCTGCTGGATTTTAAAGGGGGACGTGTCCTCTGGAAACTCCTGATCAACAAGTCTGTTCTCCTCGTAGAACGTGATGTCCAGTATGACCTGCAGATACATGACAGTAAAGGGGAATTCCACCAATTTTTTAAAAATCTCCACATAATTCAGTGTGTGAGGTGTAATCAGAGAGATTCAGAGTGGTTCGGTGTGAAATGGTTCAGATGTCTTTACAGTGGTGGTGATAGGAACCAGGGGTCGCCATGACTACAACACAAATATAGTCATTTTATTTACTATCCAGAACCACCAGTGAACCTACACAAGTCTTCTGAGTTTATACGGAATGTTGATGATGGAAAATAGTGGAAAATCTGAAGTAATAAGTTTTCTTTGGGGACTATTTTGCCTCACAGCGCCCTGCATGTATCCCTCCACCATGAATGAGTTTAAGTTCTCTAAACTATCATAAAACAGGGTCTCAGTCATCAGGCAGTGAATTCATAGCCATTTCATGTAGGAACTTTCTGTGAGGGAGCTTTTAGAGGTGGATGTCTGGTTCCTATCACCACCACTGTGAACAGTTCTGACTCGGTAAGTTTATCTAGAGCGGAGCGTTTCACACCAAACCACTCTGAACCGCTCTGATTACATCTTAACCATTTAATTATGCAGGAATTCTGGACCATTTCCCTTGGAAGAACTGAACAACTGCATGTCCGATTACAAGAAGAGCATAACTAGTCCTGTGTAGTGACGGCCCCCGGTCAGAGACCCGCTGGAGGTGTGGACGAGTCCAGGGTCCCCCAGAGTACCTGCAGTAAAAGTAAGTCCGTGGTGATGGTCAGTACCTGAGTGTAATCCTGAAGCAGCTTGGCCACACTGCTGCTCTCTCCGGCCTGCGTGCTCTTCAGCCGGTCGAGTATGGAGGACGCGTTCTGTAGATAGTCGTCATCTACGAAGGAAAGAGAGCGTTAATAACTCACAGTGCAGCATCACAATCTCCGTTACTCTACAGCTAACGGGTTTATACAAGCTGTGTTAAAGATACGGAGTCAAGAACGCTGCATTTCTCAGCCCTTATAGAACCGTGTCTGATACTCTTTAGAACCCTTTTGATAAGAGCTGCAGCTTTGAGACGCGTCTGCTGACATTCCCAGGTTTCCTGCCTCAGAATCCTACTATGGCCGTGTGACTGCTGCAGTGTGCGCATCAGACTGTCTGTCTGCCTGTCTATCTGTCCGACCATCTGTCTGTCTCTCTATCCATCCAACAGTCTGTCTGTCTGTCCGTCTCTCTATCCATCCGACCGTCTGTCTGTCTATCCGTCCATCTATCCATCTGTCAATCTATCCATCATTCTGCCTATCTATACCTCTGTCTATCCATCCATCTGTGTATCTGTCCATCCATCCAACCATCCGTCTATCCATCCATCAATCTATCCATCATTTTGCCTATCTATACGTCTGCCTATCCATCCATCTGTGTATCTGTCTATCCATCCGTCAATCTGTCTATCATTCTGCCTATCTATATATCTGCCTATCCATCCATCTGCGTATCTGTCTATCCATCCGTCCAACCGTCTGTTCACCCATCTGCCTGTCTGTCTATCCATCCATCAATCTATCCCTCATTCTGCCTATCCATTCATCTTTGTATCAGTTCATCCATCCGCCTGTCTGTCTATCCACCCGTCAATCTATCTATCGTTCTGCCTATCGATACATCTGTCTATCCATCCAACCGTCTGTCCATCCATCCGCCTGTCTGTCTGTCTATCCATCCGTCAATCTATCCCTCATTCTGCCTATCTATACATCTGCCTATCCATCCACCTGTGTATCTGTCCATCCATCAATCTATATCATTCTGCCTATCTATACATCTGTCTATCCATCCGTCCAAACCGTCTGTTCACCCATCCGCCTGTCTGTCTATCCATCCATCATTCTGCCTATCTATACATCTGTCTATCCATCCATCTGTGTATCTGTCTATCCATCCATCTGTGTATCTGTCCATCCATCCGCCTTTCTATCCATCATTCTGCCTATCTATACATCTGTCTATCCATCCGTATCGACTGCAGAATGACAGAATAAATGACAATCAATGAAAATAATATTCAGTGAAGCGTTCAATCAATAAAATCTCACAGAAACTAAACCAGTAAGACCAGCGATGATCAGCTTGGTCCACTGCACTGAGCATGCACTGGGAGTTTAACTAATCCTAATCCTAATCCCACAGCATTACTCCTACTATAAACAGTGTTCCCACTCCTCCACCTGCACAGGTGTGTGTGTTTACCTGCTCCGACACACAGGGTCTCACAAAGAATGACCAGCTAAGACCAAACAAACACGGCCATGTTTAACTCCCAGTACAGCGGTGGTTAAAGGGGAATTCCAGCGTTTTCTTTTTTTTCTACTCAGAGTGTGAGCTGTAATCAGAGAGATTCAGAGAGGTTTGGTGTGAAATGGTTCAGATGTCTTTACAGTGGTGGTGATAGGAACCAGGGGTCGCCATGACTACAACACAGATATAGACATTTTATTTACTATCCAGAACCACCAATGAACCTACACGAGTCTTCTGAGTTTATATGGAATGTTGATGGAAAATAGTGGAAAATCTGAAATAATAAGTTTTCTTTGGGGACTATTTTGCCTCACAGTGCCCTGCATGTATCCCTCCACCATGAATGGAGTTTAAGTTCTCTAAACTATCATAAAACAGTGTCTCAGTCATCAGGCAGTGAATTCAGAACCATTTCATGTAGTAACTTTCTGTGAGGGAGCTTTTAGAGGTGGACGTCTGGTTCCTATCACCACCACTGTGAACAGTTCTGACTCGATAAGTTTATCTAGAACGGAGCGTTTCACACCAAACCACTCTGAACCGCTCTGTTTACATCTTAACCACTTAATTATGCAGGAATTTTGAAACACTGGTGGAACTCCCCTTTAACTCTGGATGATCTGTAACACTTCTGTGGTAAAAAGAAACTTCTGAAAAGCCCATTTTGTTCCTCTGCTTACAGTCCAGCTCAAAGAAAGCCTACAGTAACTCAACGTGAACACACTCACATACACATCTGGGCCGTGCTAACCCAGCTCTGACTTCGGACTGATTTAAATCAATTCTACACATAAGTGAATAAATTAACGTAAACAAACAGTAAATTAAGCTATTCATTAGCCTGTTAGCCGCCTTTCAGGCTGCTGTTTACCACACTGGCGAGAAAAAAAACAGTTTACTCAGTGTAAACAAACACACACCACCGCTAGCCTAGCCTAGCCTAGCCTTGCCCGCTCCGTAAACACAGCGTTGCGTTGCTAAGCTAACCCTGCTGTGTTGCTAAGCTAACCGCAGCCCCCGGCTCTCCGCGGCTCTGGCTGAGCTCCACACCGGCTCTGAGAGCCCCTGACCCCGCCGGCTCTGAGCCCCGACCCCCGGTGTGTATTCGCCGTGTTCCTGTACCGTGTGTCTCCGCGCGCAGCGCCGCGCACCTGTCCGACAGGTGAGTGATCCTGCTCTCCAGCACGCGCAGCTCCGCCATCGCCGCACGCGCACTCACGTGACCATCACGTGACCCTCTGTTCACGTGTTGCAGCAAAGTGCGCCTCGAATATCTTTCCTCTTTTTTGTTTTCAACGTTCAATAAAGCGCAAAAAGAGCGTTGAGTTATAGTTAATTATAAAATGAGTCATTAATAGGCAGCTCGGTGATGGATAATGCAGCTATGACTAAAATTATACAGTTAAACAGTTATATTATGAGTACAAGAGCAGGATGGCTCCTATTAGCAGTACTAGCTAAATATTCAAACTCTTTCTTTGATTTTTGAGTTCTTTGTCTTCTAACAATAGCAGAACCCTTTTTGGTGCTGTCACACTTTAACATATGGTTCTTTAAGGGTTAATCAGTAAAGGCAATTGTTCTATTCAGAGCCCATTGTTATGAACAGTTCTTTGCAGGTTGAAATGGTTCTTTTCAGAATGGTTCTATATAGCACCAAAACGGGTTACAAACTTGTCACAATAGCAGAACCCTTTTCGGTGCTATATAGAACCTTATATAACACATTCTCCAAGTTGAAGAACCCTTCCACCATGCAAAGAACCAGTTAGTCATGCAAATGATTCTAAATAGAACCGTTAACTTTATTAAAGAACCATCTATTTTAAGAGTGGTAAACATAGAACCATTTTTAGACGTTCAAAGAACCTTATACAGCAGGTTTCGCGTCATATGGAAGAACCATTGAATTGCATTCAAACAGCTCTCTGAGTTGAGGTTCTATATACACCATTAAAAAAGTGGTTCTACAGGGGATCTTAGGACAAAGGTTATATCTAGAACCATGACAATAATTTGAAAGATGGGCCGTTTGAATGAGGTCACTGTAATCCATGATTTTAGGCCGCTGCTTTAGCGAAACCCTTTAAAGCTTTCCCAAAAGCATTTTCATTTTCACTTTCAGTTCTGCTAAAGAACCACTGAACATTTCACTGTGTTTGGAAGCTGAGTTCTAAACTGCAGAACCGAAACGTTTCTGAACGGACAGGTTTGAGTTCACTGTGACAGCATGTAACATTAGCCATTTCCATGGTCATTGTGGGATATTTATAGAATAGAATTACCCATTGCTACCAACATCACAACGATTGTGTAAGCTGCTCTGAGGAACCAACAGAAGAAGGAACCGCCTATTGTTGAGCGACTGACCCAGTATTTCCAGTTAAAGTTGTCTACAGTCAGTGACCAGGCCTCTGTTACTCTGTCCTCTCTGTCTGTCATGGATCACTTTATTATCCACATCAAACGTCACAGTAATGATAATAAAGACAGGAAACTGATCCGGCGCTGTTGGGAAATATGAGTTACTTCAGTCCCCAAACTGAACATCCAGCAACAATACTGAGAAGGACAAATCTGCAGTTTGCCATTTTCACAATGTAGCCCCTCCCACTCCAGCCTGTAAGTTGCCAACAGTCCCCCAGTGTAGCCACGCCCACTCCAGCCTCTAATTTGCCCAAAATCCCCCAATGTAGCCCCTCCCACTCCAGCCTGTAAGTTGCCAACAGTCCCCCAGTGTAGCCACGCCCACTCCAGCCTCTAATTTGCCAAAAATCCCCGAATGTAGCCCCTCCCACTCCAGCCTGTAAGTTGCCAACAGTCCCCCAGTGTAGCCACGCCCACTCCAGCCTGCATTTTGCCAAAAATCCCCGAATGTAGCCACTCCCACTCCAGCCTGCATTTTGCCAAAAATCCCCAATGTAGCCACTCCCACTCCAGCCTGTAAGTTGCCAACAGTCCTCCAAAGTAGCTCCACCCACTCCTGTCTCTAATTTGCCAAAAGTCCCCCAAAGTAGCCCCACCCACTCTAGCGGGTAAGTTGCCAACAGTCCTAAATGTAGCCACTCCCATTCCAGGCCGTAATTTGCCAACTGTCTCCCAACTGATGATCGAAAACAGTGGAAAATCTTTGGGGGGGGGGGTATTTTGCTCCTGCATGTATCCCTCCACCATGAATGGAGTTAAAACAAAAACGTTTTAAACCAAAATATCTGAAGCTTTTAGAGGTGGACGTCTGGTTCCTATCGCCAGCACCAAACCACTCTGAACGACTCCGTTTCCCGCCATTTAATTCTGTAATCCTGAATTGTAATTGTGAAATTTTAAATTTTGAACAGTACGGTGGAATTGCCCTTTAACAATGTCATTGGGGGCATTGTCTAACGTTGTCCACACAACAAGCCTCCTGTAGCCCCGCCCACTCTCCTGACGCGGTCCGCCATCTCCCCCAACAAGCCCCCAGCATAGCCCCGCCCACTCTCATTTCGGGGCATGACTCGTCACCACAACCGAGCCCCCTGTAGCCCCGCCCATCCGCCCGCCCTCGCTGTAATTTGCATCTCCTCAACGAGCCCCCGACATAGCCCCGCCCACGTTCATCGCGGAGTACGGCTCGTCATCGCAACCGAGCCCCCTGTAGCCCCGCCCCCTCTCTCTCCTTAATCTGTCACACTGTCTCTCTCCCTCTTTCTGTGTTTAGTGTGGTGGACATGGCGCCTCTCTCAACGCTGCTGCAGGCGGGGATCCGGCTCAGGCTCCGCAGCCTCCCCAAGGTCAGTGCGCTCATCCCCGGCTACATTCAGCCTCGTGCTGCCGGGAGGGACCCTCAGCTTTATCTTTAGCCTTGAATGAACCGCGTAGCTCTGCATGAACTTGAGGTTTGCACAGGAAATGAAGCTGCGTTTGCAGGCAGGCGCTGCTGACAGCTCATCATGGCTGAGCTGCATGCCTTTGTTAGCTCTGAGAATTTTGCAATATTAATATTCATTAATGCTTCTCATGTTGAACAGGTTCGAGTTTGGTGCTAACTGAGATATCTGGACCAAGCTGAAGATGTTTTCTTATTCGATTTATTCGAATTTCCCGTTCCACCTTAAATGGCGCCTTAATGTAACTGCTGCACCATTTAAGGTGGAACGGGAAATTCTTTGGAGGGAATTTCTCAAAGCAGGAACTGAAAGCCTAAAAAGTGAGGATTACCCAAAAGCATCCTCCTCTACCACTGAACACACTTAACTATGGGCTTAAGTACTCATCTGATTGACAGACGACACTAGTAAATAAAATTGTTTACTAGTAAACAATGAGCGTGACCTTGGCTTGGGCAGGTAGATTTTGCATTTTTCGATTTTTAACTTTAATATCTTCATTCCTATGATAAGAGATGCACATTTGAGTGCTTTTATTGCACGAAGCATCAGAATAAGTGAAGTTCGGCTGAAGTTGGGTGACTTCATGAATGGAGCTTTGAGTCTCCAGTAGTTTCCGAATGCCTCATCATCATTATACACCAGTTAAAGGTTTGGTAAATAAACACATGCACAAAAATTCAGGCTTCTAGGTGGCTGTCTCTTATTTTTAGCTATGCTTGTTCGCTTTTGTCCGCTTGTGTAGATGACAGTGCGTCATGCAGTGTCAGAAACCACATAACCAAGGCTACTAGAGGTTACATCAAGGGGAATTTTAAAAATTTCCCCATAATTGAGTGTTTGGGATGTCAACACAGTGACTAATATAGACTTTTTATTTACTGTCCAAAACCACCAGCGAACCTGCACGAGTCTTCTGAGTTTATATGGAATGTTGATGATGGAAAATAGTGGAAAATCTGAAATAATTCGAATTATAACTCTTCTTTGGCCTCACAATGTCAAGTGAAATGATCTTAAATCTAGTCAATATGTCTAATATTTCTCATATTGAGGCTGTTTAGCTTATTATAAGATCATTTAACTCATTTCCAGATATTTAGGTCATTTTATCAAGTAGAATATCTCACTATATTGTCAGATCATTTAGTGAGAAATGACTCAAAACAAGGAAACAATGTCTGCAAATGAGTTAAATGATCTTATAATCAGCTAAACAGTCTCATCATGAGAGATATTACATATATTGAGCAGATTAATCTGTTTTAGAACCAAAATCTTCTTGCTAAACAGAGTCTCAGTCATCAGGCAGTGAATTCATAACCATTTCATGTAGGAACTTTCTGTGAGGGAGCTTTTAGAGGTGGACGTCTGGTTCCTATCACCACCACTGTGAACAGTTCTGACTCGGTAAGTTTATCTAGAACAGAGCGTTTCACACCAAACCACTCTGTTTACATCTTAACTGTTTTATTATGTAGAAATTCTGAAAATATGGGTGGAGTTCCCCTTTAACATCCTAATATGGTGTGGTGCTAATAAGCTTCCATATCTTAGCTACCTTAGCCTCGTAGCTGCAGTGCTGAAGCTAAAGAAGCGAAGTTAAGACGCTGAACACGTCTCGGCTGATTTAATTTAGGGAAAAAGTGATTTTTCTCCAAAGCTTCGCGTCTCAGCCCAGACTCCCACTCACTGAGCTCTGTTTCTGCTGGAGAACCAGAAACCGGACCAGCTCTCATGGGACGGGTTCTAAAAGTGTTGCAAGCTGTATTTCAAAATAGCAGTTGGATTTTTGTGCTCCACACACTTAAAAACGACGGTTCCTCAAGGGTTTCTTAGTGAAGGCAACGGTTCTGTTTAGAACTGAACCATTTCATGCTTAAGTGGATCTTTGCATGGTGAAATGTGTTGAATATGGTTCCATATAGAACCTTTTTTAAGTGGTTCTATATAGCACCAAAAAGCGTTCTTCTGTTATGATATCTAGAACCATTTCATGCTTAAATGGTTCTTTGCATTGTGAAATGTGTTGTATGTGGTTCCATATAGAACCTTTTTTAAGTGGTTCTATATAGCACCGAAATAGGTTCTTCTATTTTGGTGATGTCAAGCTAGCAGAACCCTTTTTGTTGCTATATAGAACCATATACAGCTATGTAGCGCCAAACAGGGTTCTTCTGTTGTTGTGATATGTAGAACCATTTCATGCCTAAATGGTTCTTTGCATGGTGAAATGTGTTGTATATGGTTCCATATAGAACCTTTTTGAAAATGGTTTTAAATAGCACCAAAAAGGGTTCTTCTGTTGTTATATAGAACCATACATTCTCTGTGTGGTAAAATGGCTCTTCAGTTTGATGGAGAATGTGTTGTACATGGTTCCATATAGAACCTTTTTGAAAATGGTTCCATATAGCACCAAAAAGGGATCTTCTACCTTTTGTCATGTTAAGCTTGTAACAATAGCAGAACCGTTTTTGGTGCTGTATAGAACCGTACACACCACATTCTCCATCAATCTGAAGAACGATTTGACCATGCAGAGAACCGTTTAAGCATGCACATGGTTCAGTTCTAAACAGAACCGTTGCACCCACCAAAAAGTCCTTGCAGAACCGTATAGACCTCAGAATAAGAGTGAAAAAATCAGTGTGCTGTTTTAAAGCGTAGTTGGAGAACCATTTCACCATTCAGAGAAACATCAAAACATGCAAATGGTTCTTAATAGAACCATTGCCTTTAGTAAAGACCCTTAAAGAACCATGTTTTTAAGTGTGCACTAACAGAGGATGCCTTTAATTGAGAATCAGTGATGGGGCCACGTTTTAGCCCTAGTCCGTCAGTAATACTGGCCTGTTCAGTGAACTGACTCACTAATGTGATCCGAGTCAGTTTATCTGAGTTAGTGGCGTTTGAGGCTCGGCTGAGGGATCAGTGTGATTTAGCCGCTAATCTTCTTGGCCTTATCGGCTCTTTTGGCCGGTCAGTGAGATTAAAAGTTAGCGAGCAGGTTTGTGTATCGCGGTGTTGAAGTAAAACATTCTGTGTCCTTTCTGCCTCTGAAGGTGACCTCCAGGCTCTGTTCCCGGTTTACGGCGCTGTTTTACAGCGTCGCCTCATATTCAGTTTTAACTGCTCCAGACATTAAAATAAAGCAGAGGTTAAAGTTCCTCATGTCTTCATTCCCTGATCACAGCGCCAGCCCTCGCTGCCTCGCTCCTGTCTGACCACTCTCGGCCCAAAGGACGTCTACAGACGCTTTGACAAGACTTTCCTATTAAAAAGTAACATTTAAACTGCTTTGATTTCATATATTTATCTTTTTCATCTTCATGTTCAGCAAAGTTTCTTTAGTTTGTAAATAATGAACAATATTTTAAATAATAAAAGCACATTCTTTTGGCTTAAAGGTGGTTTAAACACCTGAAAAGTTTGAATGCAGGTGAGGACAGTGCTGTGAAAAAGTATTTGCCCCTTCCCAATTTGTTCTATTTTTGCATATTTGTCACACTTTAATGTTTCAGATCGTCAAACTACTTTTAATATTAGACAAAGAAAACAAAATGCTGTTTTTTAATGATTATTTCATTCATTGAAGGAAAAATGCGTTCAGCCCTACCTGGCCCGGTGTGAAAAAGTAATTACCCCCTTAGCTGCTAAATCGACCACTTGACCAAGTTCAGTTGATCATATTGGGTTCAGTTTCCCTGGCCACACCCAGGCATGATCACTGTCAGACCTGGTGAATCTAAACATCACTTAAACGGACTCTGTCTGTCAGTGTGAAGCAGCTCGAAGGTCTCAAACAGCAGCACATGATGTCACGTTCTAAAGAGATTCTAACACAGATGTGAAACAAAGTCACTGAAATCTACCATCTGGAAAGGGTTACAGAGCCACTGCTGAGGCTCTGAGACTCCAGAGAACCACAGTGAGAGCCGTTATCCACAAATGGAGAAAACTTGGAACAGTGGTGAACCTTCCCAGGAGTGGCCGGCCTACCAAAATTTCACCAAGAGTGCATCAGCGACTCATCCACGAGGTCACTAAAGAACCCAGATGAACATCTAAAGAGCTGCAGGCCTCACTGGCCTCAGTTAAGGTCATCGTACATGATTCCACACTGAGAAAGAAACAGGGTGAAAATGTCATCCATGGGAGAGCTGCAAGGTGCTGACCAAAACCACTGCTGACCAAGAACAACGCAAACGCTCGTCTCACAATTGTCAAAAAAACACGTTGATGACCCCCAAGACTTTTGGAATAATATTCTGTGGACTGGTGAGTCTAAGGTGGAACTTTTTGGAAGACATGGGTCCCATTACATCTGGTGTAAACGCTGCGTTCCACCATAAGAACCATATATCAACAGTGAAATATGGTGGTGGTAGTGTGATCTGGGGCTTTACTTCTGCAGGACCTGGACAGCTTTTCATAACTGATGTTTGTGACCTAAAGCTCAAGCGCAGTTGGGTTACGCAGCAGAGCAATGATCCAAAACACACAAGCAAGTCCACCTCTGATTGGATCAAAAGAGACAAAAATTGAATCCCATTGAGATGCTGAGGAAAGACCTGAAACGTCAGTTCATGTTTGAAAATCCTCTGATGTAGCCAAATTAAGAGTGGGCCAGAATTCCTCCGCAGTGATGTGAAAGTCACAGTTGCTTGACTGCTGCTACTTTTTCACAGCACTATACTTACACCACTTTATTTTTGTAGTACTTTTATTTTGAAAAATAAAATTAACTTTTACTTTGAAAAATGCAAGAATTTAATTTAAACACAGAAATGTAATAAAGAGCAGTGGGTGTTGTTCCGGTTAAATGAGTTTAGTCTTAGCTGTTCTACTGATACAGTGCAGTAAAATGCAGATTAACACAACATACAAACAGCACAGACCACGCTAGCGTTAGCCTGTTTAGCTGAGTCAGGGATGTTCCAGTCATGTTTCAGATGAAAGTGAAAGCACAGCGGACCCTCCATCACGATTTGGGGTTATGTTGAAGGTTTGAACATAAACCTGCTGAGCGAGAAGCTCGCTGTACAAACTGAGACGTGAAACAACGCTCAGCGCTGGAGTTCGAGAGCAGGACTGACAGGTTTATCTAGTTATCAATCAGTTCTGTTTTTACGTTTACACAAAGGTTTACTGTAGTTATTAAAAATGGTTCTTAGTAAAAAGTGAAGGGACATCCCAGAATAACAAACCACTGCTGACCTACAAAAATAGGGTTATTTAAGCATCTAAAATGGGTTTATTTGAAAAATAGATACACTGTTATTATACACAGTGTCAATTTAACTGTAGCATGATACAATGTTTTGGCTGCCCACTACTAAAATATTATATAATTAATTATTTTTAAGTGAAATAAAATAATATTGACTAATTTTGTTAAAATATTAAAATAAATGCTCTTAAAAACTGAAGTATGTATTTAATATTAATAGTAGATTAAGCTTCAATATGCTGCACTCTTAAAAAGATGGTTCTTCAAAGGTTCTTTAGTAAAGGCAATGGTTCTAAAAAGAAACGGGTTTAAAGGGTTCATGCTTAAAGGGTTCTCTGCATGGTGAAGAACCCTTTTTGGTGCTATGTAGAACCATATACAGTAGATTTTCCATCAGTCTGAAGAACTGTTTCACCATTCAGCGAACCATTTAAGCATGCCAATGGTTCTACATATAACCATTGTCTTCACTAAAGAACCCTTGAAGAACCATAATTTTAAGTGTGTACTTTACTGCAAACAGACAGAAGAAAACCTGATCAGTTTTATTAAAAGAATTCTGGAAATCGAGGTGTCCCCAAACTTTTGCCCGGTGGTGTCTGTAATGATCAGTGAGCGCCTGTTCTCTGTTCTCTGTTCTGTGTGTGTAACGGAACGTAATTTGGGAGGTATCTGGTTCTTTGTCTCTGTAATGTGCGGACAGTCATGTCCCGCTGTGGTCAGTCTGTAACTCGGCCGATTGCAGTGGACAAAAGGTTCTGTTGGGTGGAAGAAGTGCTGCTGATGGAGAACGGAGCTCAGAGCTGTGCGCTGTGGTGGAACTTCACCCATTTAATTGTGACTTTTAACCCAGCGGGAGAGCTTCATTGTCTTATTGTGTCACTGTGACATTAATATTGTGAAATTGTGTCGTTTTCTGCAGGCGTGTGTCTGTTATTTCTCCACCGCCCCCCGCCGGCCCTCGCACTTCTACGCCAACTCCACTGACGCAGTGAAGGACATTCCTGATGGTGCTACCATACTGGTTGGAGGTAACAATAACAATAACAATAATAATAATACAAACGTAATTCCAAAAATGTTGGGATGG